TCAAAAAATTGTTTAAGATATTTCCAATAAGATATTAAAACTTTTAGCCAATCCTAGTGGAAGGTGTCAATTTCAGTACCAATTATTTCAATTGCTGTATCTCCCATTTGACAAATCATAGGATGATAAGGAAAGCACGTGATGAAACGTTGTTCTCTGGATTTTACAATATGAATGTGGGTGGTGCTTATTATAGTAACTGCCATTTTATGTAGAGGTTATATTTAGTGCTGACCAATAGGGCTTTTCTGTAAGCATTAGAAAAGTTGCTTCTGGAAAAAACTGCATGGGATATACGTGACTTTTATTTTTCTTATATAGTAGCTTAAGTCATGCTGCATGGTATATCTGTTTATAATAATCATTATATTGAAAAATTAACTCAAAATACATATATTTCTTAGGAAATAAGTTGATCCACGATTGTTAGGGTTAAGAGTTACCGAGTGGCGAGTGCAAAGTCTTTACAGGAATTAGACTTAGGACTTTGAACTGAAAGAGTTTGCGATTTTTTATATTCTTTTGAATTTAAATTTGTAGTCTTAAGCTCAATAATTTAGCATAATTTTATATTTAGTTCAAAATAATAATAATATGATTCAGTATTTAGAATGAAAAACTTGTGTGATTTGTACGTAATACTATTAGTACCACAAAAGAATTTTATATTTTTCCTTCCTACAATATTTGCTTTGTAGTAAAACCCACACTTCTGTTGTTATTGCGTTAGAATTAAAACAGTCTAACTGATATATATATATAGTTTATTCTGATATTTCGCAAATGGTTCAAACTCAGTAGTGACAACAATAAAACCCATATGTTGGTTGTGAAACAGGCTAAATACTAAATAATACAGGGAAGCTATAACATTCTCACAGTTGGGGGTCTCAATACATTGAAGTACTTAAGTTTCGCATTCCAACATAAATCTTGCCTGTAATGAGAGGAATGTGACCAGGACTAATCTTTTAAGTGCTGTAAAGTAATTTTCTTTGTAATTTATGGTGTTTGTAGCATTTGGTAATCTCTTCTAACAGGATGTATCAAGTAATAAGGGGTCAGGCTCAGGTGGTGTTTATTGCAACCACCTGTACTATAAACTGTTACATACATTTGTTAGTAGTGGCAATTAGTTTTGTCTCTATTCTGAAAAAACATACACGGACATATGTTGAAATAAACTTGTTTGAAAGTTCAAAGAAATGATATTCAAGTACCGAAAAGCTTTCTTACTATCATATCTACAGTAACGTTCAAATGCACACGCGCTCGGTTGAACGAGAGTGACCACCAAAAAGGGTGAGATAGTTTACGGACAACATACAAAGTTCATGCTGCTGACCCCACGGTTTATTCGGCACAATAAACACAAAAGTACGACTGCAATGAAACATAAACATAAATTTGTAATAAAAATATATTTATGAAACAAAATTAAAATGTTTTTATGTACATATATAAACATGAAATCCTGGTTAAAAATGAAAATACTCATTTATTGTTTAGGTTTATTTACAAATATTATTTACGGGTCTGTATATTACTTGAAACCATAAGAAGTATACGTGATTATTAAAAAAATTAAAAATAGATAAAATTTGCATTTTATGGAGGATACAATTTTTTGGGGATTTCAAAATAATGTACTAAAACATTAAAAGTAATAAGTTCAAATCTGTAGCAAATACAAATATTGTAATCCTTTCTAATAAATACGATTTCCTAATGTAATTTTCCAAGATATTAAAGATCATAATGCAAAAAAACTAAATTTATTAAAAGTAATAGGCTTTATGTTTCTTAAACTACCTACATTTGTCAAAGTAATTATGAATTTTCAAAAATATTTGTCCACTAGTTTTATTTTTGGAATGAAATATAGCAAGACTTGCATTGCCTACTAAGAAAGTTAGTAGCCGGTAATCATCGGGTTAAGCTATAAAAAAATATACAAGCTTATGCTTGTGGATGGGTTTGATTTTTCAACAACTTCCTTTTTTAAACCCGTTGATGTAAAATATTTCACACTCTAGTCCACTATTTTTCAAATTGACAAAATTATTTTTACAGTCAAGAAGGAACTGATCAGCACAAGAATATGAACAATTTACACATTAATAGTCAATCATTTGTATTAACCAACAAAAATATTTTAACTGGCCTCTTTTTTCTTTTACAGCATTGTGATATTAATTATTCTATTCTCTCATTAAATAACACTGAGAGAAAGACAAACAAAGTATTCACTTCTGGTTTCAAAATTATTATATTTTTTTACAGTGTAGTCTTTAGATTTCCAATATAAGGGAGCCCCCCCAATGGCACAGTGGTATGTCTGCGGACTTACATAAAGTGCTAGAAACTGGGTTTCGTTACCCATGGTGGACAGAGCACAGATATCCCTTTGTGTAGTTTTGTGCTTAATAACAAACAAAAAACCTATATAAAAGTTTTGATTAAAAATTGTTCCATTAAGCTTGGGTAATGTAGTACATATCATCATTCATCACCATGGTCACATGTCAGATTATAGCTTACTGTATTCATAAATGTGACAGAAAATTTATGTTTTGGTGCAATGGTAAGAGGTGGTTTGCATATCAGTGCACTATGGTATCCACATACTAAATATCAACACAAGCCTTAAAGACTTGTTTCATTAAAATCTCCATTTTTCTTGTGCTCACTGATGAATAAACTTTGGATTAGTTTTATATCTAATCTATTTCTGCGCACACACACTATACTTCATACTTCTTTAGATGTGTGGTGTACAAACTTAAAATGTGTGTTTTATCCTCTCAGTTGATAAATAACTTTTCCAAATTTCTGTACATACTGAGCATGTCTTCTTAATATGGAAAGTCAGTCAAGGGAGCCACTAAGATACACTTGCTCAAGTTACTCACAGAACTGAGTAATTAAGGCATCATATATGCTCTCTCTTAGTAAACATTGCTATAAAACAACATATAACACTGGTTGCACAGGAAAGCATACCCTACAATGGGTTCAGAAGGTCAAAATAATACCCTTTCAATGAGTTTATTGAGAGACTCTCCAGTAAAATGATCAGGCATCACTGTGGAATGAGATATTCTCACCTTAACTCTCTCGCAATGGGCTGGGTTAAAAAAGCAAGTTTGTGATCCCAAATTGACTTTTACAGTTTCCCTATACTTCTAATATGCTTTGTGTATCTTGATGAAATTTTGCAAGATTTCAGTAATCATTAAGAGTCATTTGTAGACAAAAAGTCAATATTAATAACGTATTTTCACTGAAAATTTCTCCCTTGATGTATGGATTCAAAGTGTTGACTGCTCTGAGTGCAAAGTGATTTTTATTTCTATAATCACTAAAACTTCCTTAATAAATTTAAAACTTTTTATTCAGTAAAACTTTATATTTTATCTGTTATTTTCTCTATTCTAACTCTACATGAGGTTGGTCAATTTGCCTGATATTGTAACAACAACAAAAAAAATCTAAATTACCTTTTTTTCTTTCTAGAATGACTTCAAATTGTAACATGAAACTACATTTGTTTATATATAAATTTTTAATGTTGTGAAGATATATATAAAATATTAAAAGTTAGTAGTATCAGATCTATAAAGACTATATGAGTACAAAGAGGTCATGTGGTCGGTCAAATCGACCGAGTCCATGTTAAGAGAGTTAAACATCAAAGAAAAATACTGGCAATTTCTGAAATGGAGGATGTGGCTAGTGGGCATAGTAGGAGGGGTCTAATTTTCTGTTTTATGGCTCTGTAACCAAATAAGATGGAAAGGTATAAAAAATTATGATTTGCCTGAGCCATGACAACAGTATAATAAATAAAGACAAGAGGTAATAGCTAGAGAGCAAATGTCACAATTCTAATACTAGGAGAAATTCAAGATTTGTTTTTAATATTGCCTTATAAAATTAGGAATTATCAGCTATATTTGTTATGCCCAATTTATTCATATACCATGATAAGAAAGCAGTTTAATTAAATTTTGAATGTAACTTACTAAAAGTTTGTAACATGCACAGAAAAATATTCCCATGTGGAAAGTGTTATGAGAAGTGGTTTTTGGGGGTGCAAGAAAAGAAAAATCCAGCAGTACCAGCTGCATTGAACCTACCTCAACCAGACTGTTGAAATCAAATGAGTAACTCAGATTGAGCTTGAGCTTTACTGAGGGCAAATCAGGGTTATTTTAAAATCAACTACCTTTACCTAACCATGCAATAAGATATGCAAAACTATCTGTTACAACTGACTACACAGCAGATCCAGGAAGGTTTGAAGTGAAATGTAATTTTTGCTTCATTCTCAAGAATGGTATAAACTAGACATGACTAGAGAAGCAAGGCTCTGACTACACATAGTTAAAGTCAGCCAAAAACAAAAGTAAACATCTCTGACCTGTAGTCTGACATTGGTATCCTAGGGCTTCCAATGATATAATCATCAGTACAGCAGAATGTAGCTGAAGCTAGCAGTATCATTAGTATTACATTTGTCAAGTTGCATCCCTACCTTGTTTCTGTACTTTTTAACATTGCCATCTCTACATGGGACCGACCTCACAACCAATTTGTGCCTGTTATAGTTTCATGCTATAACTTTTAATTTAATAAGTGAATTAGTTATGACCTTTGTACT